TTAATGTATGCAGATTAATCTCTCACGGATTTACTTTGAAATTTCATTCATTTTATTTTCTGTATACTCAAACTGTTCTAAAATAGATCACAGGAGACTTGAGGTTTGTGTCCTGGGGGCCCCAATTAAGTAACCGTTCACTTTAGAGTGTTTAGAATTCTTAGATGGTGTTATTTTTATTTGGGTACAAACACAAGGCACTTTATAAATCCAAAGTATGCGCTTTTAAAAAAGTGTTTTGAAGTTAACTATTCTGCTCTACTAGGTCAGGTATTTGGGTCTTGTAATTAAATTATAAATATAATTCGGAAGCCAAAATAGAAGTGTTGTTAAATAATATTAATATATTCAGTTTACAAGAAGGGATTCTGTACAGCATATTATGAACTTATAAACTCATGGTGGTTCTAAATATATGTTATTCGATCATCACGGCGACACTGCAAGGTTCTCAGGGCAGATATATTGCTTGATAGACAATAGAAACAGAATCACAAGTAATGCTGCTAATTGTGTTTTCCTCATTTATGCTGAATAGAATATACTAAAAGTTTAATTTCTGAATAAATGCAATGAATTTAATTCATCTTCAACACTTACTTCACTGTATGGTCTAACTTATTTTGGTTTACTTGTTATTCTTTGAGTAGAAACCAAATGCTCATGTGACTAGTCCAATACTATTCTATTATTTCTTATTATCAGAAGAAACTTAAGGAGATAGTAGTTTATTAGTTGACAACCTACATTCCAGTAAGTTTTTTACTAGATGGAATCTATGTTATAACCATATCTTCTTTTCCTCACTCTGTTTACTAATGCTGAGATAAATCTATTGATTCATCTTGAAAGAAAGAAAGAAAGAAAGAAAGAAAGAAAGAAAGAAAAGAAAAGAAAAGAAAGGAATGAAGAAGAGGAACAAAGAGGAAGAGGAGGAGGGAGAGAGAACGGAAGTGTTGCTTAATTGCCCAGGCTAGAATGCAGTCTAAAATGGGTATTGAAAACCTCCCTTATACCATCAATTGTGCTTAATAACGGCCAACCAATATTTCCTTTAATCCTGTGAGTAGGTGTGATGTGGTACTGATAACAGTGCATATCTTGTTTAAAGTGGAGAGTTCTGTAAATGTTTATTAAGTTTACTTGTTCCGGACCTGAGTTCAAGTCCTGGACATCCTTATTAATTTTCTATCTTGTTGATCTATCTAATATTGATGTCGAAATCTCCCACTACTACTGTGTGGGAGTCCGAGTCTCTTTACAAGTCTTATGTATCCTGTATTGGGCATGTACACATCCAGATTCATCAGCTCTTCTTGTTGCCTTGATCCTTTTTCCATTATGTCCTCTTTTGATCTTTGTTGCTTTAAAATCCATTCCATCAGAGGTGAGAATTGCAACCTCTGCTTATTTACTTATTTATTTTTTCTCTGTTTGGTTGGCAAGTCCCCCTACATCCCTTTGTTTTGAGTCTTTATGTATCCTTGCATGTGAGATGGGTCTGGATGTAGCATACCGATGGGTTTTGGCTGTATCTTTTGATTGGGGGATTTAGTCAATTTAAATTTAGGATTACTGCCATTTGATGTTAGCTGGCTGTTTTGCCCATTAGTTGATGTAAATTCTTCATTATGGTGATGCTCTTTACTTTTTGGTATATTTTTAGAAAGGCTGATACTGGTTATTCCTTTCTATGTGTAATGCTTCTTTCAGAAGCTCTTGTAAAGCAGGCCTGGTGGTACTTGCTTGTTCACAAAAGATCTTATTTTTCCTTCACTTGTGAAGCTTAGTTTGGCTGGATATGAAATTCTGGGTTGAAAGTTCTTTTCTTTAAGGATGTTAAATATTGGCTCCTACTCTCTTCTGGCTTGTAGGGTTTCTGCTGAGAGATCTGCTGTGAGTCAGATAGGCTTCCCTTTGTGGGTAACCTGACCTTTCTGTCTGGCTACACTTACTATTTTCTCCTTCATTTCAACCCTGGTGACTCTAACGATTATGTACCTTGGGGTTGCTCTTCTTGAGAAATATCTTTGTGGTGTTCTCTGTATTTCCTGAAGTTGAATGTTGTCCTGCCTTACTAGGCTGGAAAAGTTTTCCTGAAAAGTATCCTGAAGAGTATTTTCCAGCTTGGATTCATTCTCTTCATCGCATTCAGGTACACCTATCAAACGTAGATTAGGTCTTTTCACATAGTCCCATATTTCTTGGAAACTTTGCTCATTTCTTTTTATCCTTTTTGCTCTAATCTTGTCTTCTCGTTTTATTTCATTAAGTTGGTCTTCAACCTCTGACATCCTTTCCTGTGCTTGATCAATTCAGCTGTTAAAACTTGTGCATATTTCGCGAAGTTCTCGTGTTGTGTTTTTCAACTCCGTTAATTCACTTATTTTTCTCTCTATATTGTCTATTCTTGTTAGCATTTCATCAAACCTTTTGTCAAAGTTCTTAGTTTGTTTGCATTGGGTTAGAACAAGTTCTCTTAGCTCCCAGAGGTTTCTTATCCACCTTCCGAAACCTACTTCTGTTAATGGCACACAGTCCTTCTCCATGAGGGCTTGTTCCATTGCTGATGAGGAACTGTAATCCCCTGTGGAGGGAGACGCGTTCTGATTTTGGGTAGTCTCTGCCTTTTTAGGCTGGTTTCTTCCCTTCGTTATAAATTTATCCATCTGTCGTCTTTGTAATTACCACCTTTCTAATTAGGTTTCTGAGTGGACGTCCAATTTATTGATTCCCAGCACCAGAATCTGAGCAACCCACTGCACCAGCTAAAAGAGTGGCGTTAAGTTTGACGGTGCTTTTCTGACTCTGCACCAAAAACCGCCGTGCCAAGGCACCTGCGAAACCACTGCACCAGCCACAAGAGTTGTGGCGGCGACCCGTGGGGCTCCTCTGCTGGGAATGTCCTCGTCCATGAGCAACAAAAATTTGTCTGAAAGTGTGGTGTCCTCTCGTTTCCTGTGCTTTCACTGGGAGCCACAATCCCGAGCTGCTAACGATCAGCCATCTTGGATCTCTCTCTAATGATTCATCTTAGCATATGGAGTAACATAATTTTCATTTAGTAATGTGCAATTATTATCTAAACACAATGATACCTTAAGCCATTAAACCCCTGATGCATACTGGCAAGGTCATCTCTACTATGTAAATCCCATATAAAGCTCAGACGAATTAAATGATTGTTTGACACAACTAACAACTAAATTAGGTATACCTTTTTTCAGAATGAATGTTGGTAATATTATTTAATTTAAAGGTGAGAAAGTATTTTCATAGTTTCAAAAATTTTCTCTAACACTGATCTGAAATATAATCTATAACATTGATTAATTGGTAGAGGATTTTTAATTATTTTTGAGAGATAATTGCAATATAATTAAGCACACTGTTAATTTCCAAACTGATATCCTGGGAAATAATTCAATTATGGAAATTATACTATGTAATCCATGCAGCAGCTGTCTATCTTCTGTTTTAATCTAAATACAATTACTGCTCATTAGGATTAATTTATTGAAAGAAAAATTTTTTTAATTATTAAGAAATTACAATGCAAAAGATAAAGTTTATGTTTATCTTTCACTAGCAAACCTTAAAGAATCTAACTTTGAGAATTGTATTTCTTTCATATTATAATGATCAATAGCCTTACTTATACTCACCTAATGTATTTATCATCTACCCAGGTAATCAAAATTTTAGTGCTGCTTGAAAATTTGGAAGTGTAATGTCTATCAAATGTGTAATTTATTTTTTCTAACATTTTATAAGATTAAAGTTTGCTTTGCAAAAAAAAAATAAAACTAGTTGAGATGATTTTCAAAAGGATGGTGCTTTTCATGTATCAGGGAACACTTTATTGACAACATGGGAATATGTTGTACAGTGTATGTTATTTACATTATGTTTTGGTTTGTGTGTATACGTAACCCCTGAAAATCATTCTCTTCTATTGTATTTATTGATTTTCATGGTCTGGTTCACGTTAATAATGCATGCTTAGTTTATGTAATCTTCCTTCACATCTTCCATTAGGCAATCATGAGATTCTTTTTTTTTTTAATTTAGAAGAAAGATGAGGTAAAACCATAGTTTCCATTATTTAATAGGTCAGATAGACAATCAAAGAGAACCTTTTGTTATTCATTGTATTCGAAGTGCTGTTTTATATTTTATTTTCTAAGCCATTACAAATTAATATTCTGTGTGAAAAATACACAATGTTTCATTTTCTTTTAATAATATCTTCAAAATGCAACCATATGCATGTTACATTTTACTTTTTGTCTACAAGTATTGATTAAAAGTCATTAGAACTAGCACAAATTCTGAGTAAAATCACTTAAGCCTTTGAGGAAAAATAACTGCTTTAAATGGGTAAAACTTTACACAGGTGTTATTATAAAACGTAGTTTTACTTTGATTTCTCCTCAAATTGGTAGTTGAGCTTTTGTTTGTTACATATAAGTAAATAATGAATACATTTAAAAATATACATATTACAGAGTATGTTGAGTATTAGCCAGGGACAATATGAAAGTGCCATATTAGATATAAATAAACACGTATATTGATTCACTGTGGCAACATATTTAAGAAATGAATTAATTGTGGAATCATATGTAAATTTATCAAATTTAATATTTTTAAAGTTATTTTAATATGCTAGCATTAATATTGTTTTCCATTTTGTATTTTCATTGTTTCCTCTTTAAACCTGGAATTATCATATCAGAAATTATCAGTATATTGAACATTAACCTATCCTTGTAAACAAATGCAAACAGTTTAAAAGGACACAGAAACTTTCAGTCTCTTAACATTCCCTGTGGTGTATCTTTTGTAATTCCCTTCTTTTTATACTATTTATAGCCTTATAATGAAAAGAAAATTAAGTTTTTTGAGCAACAATAACAACAGGCAATGTGAACTCAACAGAAGCAAATATAAATAATTCACTTTTATGAACTGTGTTTGTGTATTTTGTTTTCTTTTAGTCAATCTACTGGATTCAAAAACAATTCAAGGGGAGCTGGGCTGGATCTCTTATCCATCACATGGGGTGAGTTCAATAAACCATCAAAAGGAAACATTATTTTCTCCATTACCTTTCTTAGAGAGCAGATAAATTTATTGTATTCTCTAAAGGAACTCTTGTACTTCTGGTGACAAATTATATTAATAGGAGTATTCAATATGGAGTAACACAGCTTGACATTTGTGTCCAATGGAGCTAAGAATTTTGAAGACTGTATTCCTTCTGAATTTATCAGTTGCTTGAATGGACTGATTAAATAATTTAATAATTATTGGCATCATGTCAATGATCTAAGAGTGACTTTCTGTGATGTGATCAGAATAGGTAAATTAATTAGACTACATTTCAGGTAACATAGAAAGTGCGTATTTGGAGATGTAATCTCCAAAGTCATAGCCTTAATGCCAACCTTGGTAACTGCTCTTCCAAGTAGGTAGAATTTATTTGTCAACAGTATAAACCTATGTTGTCTTAATTTATTTGTTTAAAATGTCTACAATTTGCCTAGATCAGTTTAAAACTTGGAATATTATTTAGAAAAATTTGGTGCTGTCTTTAAGTTTTAAACTTTTTACATAGCTTTGGAATTTTATCAATCCGGATACAAATTGGTGCTCTGAATGACTATAATAAGCCTTTTCTGAGAGAAAATTTTTCTTCTATTTTTTAAAAAAATGGGGGTTTTACATTTGGAAATCTCTTGTCCCTACACAATTGTGTAATAAATTCCCAAGCATACCTTTTTTGTTTCTAAGTATAGCTTGTAAAATACGCAAAGTGCTATTTTAAAATATTTGTCATAGGAACAAATTTATGTATTCCTGTCCTTCTATGATAATCTCCCTTTCAAGAGATTGTAACGACTTCCACTTCGTATTGGTGCTTAGTCTTCAGATTTTTGTGACTAAATATACACACTTTAATGATACTACCAACTTCTTCACAGGCGGATGTTTTCCATCAGAGATACTTCATCTATCTGTCATCTTTGTATCTGCTTCTCTTCCTGACACACCTTGACTTTGACAAAATGCCAAAACCTAAAATCAAGTCTTCATTAGTTACTTGAGAGGAGAGAGTATGAAGTAAGCCAGGATTTGGTTTTCCAAGAGGTATAAAAGGAATCAAATGATTAGGATGAAAGCACAGGCTAGGTTGTCATAAAGAATGAATCAAAATTCAAGATTGAGCTGGAAAACTCATTTGAAACTAATCATCTAAATGTCAGGCCTTACCTTAATTTTGATTTTAGAAATTTGAATATTTCATCACTTCTTCAGTAATATACTGGAGAACCTGCTGCTTCAGGATATAAGAAAAACAAAAACTACAGCAACATTTTACTAATAGATATGTAAATGTTTATTTTTAAAAACAACAAGAAATTATCTTATATTTCACAGCAACAGCCTGGCTTATGTTTTCCTTTAAAGCAGATATAATGGTAACACATCTTTATGTATTGAAAACTGGGGAAAATGAAGTCCCGATTGTTAATCTCAAAGATGATGTGACGGAATGGAGTTGGCACTTTTACTTCCAGATCTGTGTTAGAGGTAGAGAGTGGGGTATTCTAGCACCTTGCTGGGTAAAGTGTGGCTCGGGGACAAACCAGCAACATCAACATGTGGGAGATTATTAGAAATCCAGGCCACCAGATCCTGCTCCAGACATTTTGAATCAGAATGTGCTTCTCAACAGGTGACTTTCTACCACATTATATTTGAGAAACGTTCCTCTGGATAAATTACTTCTTGACATTTCCCGTCTATGGTCCAATTTACTACCTCTTCGTTGCCTAGGAATCTCTCACAGCTTCCGCAGTCAACAGTGTTCAGTTTCTCCTTTGGTGTACTGTTGCCTGAGAGAGCTCGGACCTGTCCTCTGTAGATCTTGAAACTGTGGTTTTCCTATTTCTGATGCATAAAATATCCTAAAATATTGGTCATTCTCTTCAAGCTTATCATTATTATTTACAGGGAGAAAAGAGAACCCCCCCAAAAAAAATCAAATGATGTGACTTGTTCTGTAGTGATATGTTGTGTATATTTCCTTTAAATTCCCACATATTATGTTAACCATAATATATATAAAGGAATACATAGTGCAGATTTAGAAAATGTTATGTCACTTGGGTTTTTTTTTGAGAAATGGATCAAATTATTGGGTGAAAATACTGTATTGTAAGTTTAGGTTTTAGATTTAATAGCCTGGCATGTCAAATATTTGTGCCTTTAGATTCAATTAATTATTTTTATTACCTCATCTTTTTCATTTTTAAATGAAAAGGATAGATTAGTTTTCTGTTTTTTTTTAAGAAAAGATACTTACAACCATTGTGATCGCCTTACTGAAAGGTTTCCATAAAAAAAAGACAAGTGCTGGAATGCCGTTGAATTTGTTATTTAATTAATTAACCCTAATAACTGGCGGTGCATCTGACTGGAGGCTAAATTAAATATGACTAAACTTTAGAGAAAAAAATCATAATGGTATTATAACGTAATCACTGCAAATGCTCATTCTGATTTGTGGTAGTGGTTTTTAACAGGTTAAGTGAGTAAGAAAAGAGGCTATTTTTCTTTTGCCTCTGGAGGATATTTGGCAATGCCTGAAGTCTTCCATCACGACTGGGGACAGGAGGCACTTTGACATCTAGTCGGGCAGACAAGGGGTACTGCTAAATATCTTACAATGAATATGCCAGCCCCTAAAATAAAGAATGACCTGCTCGAAAATGACAGTGCCTACGTTGAGAACCTCTACTTAGAGAATTAGGAACTGTCCTTACTAAGATTTGGGAGACTGCCCCTCCTTCTCTAACTTCCAATCCTATTCTCATCGGAAGCTCTAAATTCCAAATCTGTTGAAATATAAATTTTAGAAGTTAAATAAGTGATCCATTTCATGAAAATCATACTCAAATTTGTAAACTGAAATTATTTGGGGATGTCATGAATAGCAATTCATTTTTCAATGAAAGAGTTTTATTTGACACTGATATTATCTGGCATGATATTTGGTGCCTTCAGCAGACAGAAGCAGACACCTTTTCTGGCCTTAAAAACTAGGAATTATGGGCTGGGCGTGGTGGCTCAAGCCTGTAATCCCAGCATTTTGGGAGGCCGTGGCGGGTGGATCACGAGGTCAAAAAATCGAGACCATCCTGGTCAACATGGTAAAACCCTGTCTCTACTTAAATTACAAAAAAAATTAGCTGGGCATGGTGGCGCGTGCCTGTAATCCCAGCTACTCGGGAGGCTGAGGCAGGAGAATTACCTGAACCCAGGAGGTGGAGGTTGCGGTGAGCCAAGATCGCACCATTGCACTCCAGCCTGGGTAACAAGAGCGAAACTCCGTCTCAAAAAACAAACAAACTAGGAATTATAATACAATTTAAATCCTTTGCTTAATTATATTCAGAAATTTAGGTGAATAATTCAATAGTTCTAATATTGATATTTGATTTTGAGAAACATCAACACATATAAAAGCTTCTAGAAATCGTTAGATTGCAACTTAGAAAAACAGTCTTTTGCTTACATGTGACTCTTAAATTGATTGTACTTAAATTGATTGATTCATTGATTGATAGTGTCAATCTATCAAGCCAACTTTTAGACTGCATATCATTACATAAATGCATTGGAGGAGAAATTTAAGAAAAGTTGAGCTACACGGTTTTCACGTAGTATAGTACTGATATCCTGATTAACTAGTCCAAAGAAATCACGAGCCATGACTTACTTAAGAAACTCCAATAAGAAGAGAGTGAGCAGTGGCAGCATTCAGGGAGTATAGAAAAACCACTGTCTGAAACGAGCAATGTCTATTTGTGGAAAATAGAAAGAAATGTCGGAATCAGCAATTGTGGAATCAAGGTTTCTTTAGGTATGTATTGATGTCTTAGCAGTGAACATGCACTTAAATGAAAACATGATTTTAGCAAATACAGAGCTTGTCAATTGCCCACCCAATATCTGTTCTTTGGATGCTCCTTGCTAATGGGAGAAAAACAGATATTGTTCAAGTTTTCACCCACCCTGGTGTTCCTGGAAAATCTCTGCGACTCCAAGGGGTGATATTGATTCATCTGAGAGCTAATCATGACCATGATAGTTGTTTTGGCATACACTGGTTGAAGCAACAAGAGGCAAAGCCAATGAGCCTGGTGCAGAATTTCAGTGATTTCTAGGAAAGGTTTTCCTCCTGACAGAGAGACAGGGAGAGGCTCAGCATTTCCTCCCTTTGGGCTCGCTCCTTGTAGGCTCAGGGTCTGCAGCAGCTGCATTTCTCTCAGGACCAGAAAGGCAGAGCCAAGTGAGCATAAGAGAAACCAGTATGTGACCGATAATCACTGAACCACTGAAGTATGTGAAGGAATGCCTCTTCTTTGTTATTTCAGCCACTCTTAGTATTTTTCATACTTTCAAATGAAAGGCATCCTGATAGGATACAAAGTTTTATCTTTGGTCGAATATTCTAATTTCTAAATGGACGTTATGGCTACAGCATAATTGTATATTATGATGTTATTTATATTTGCCAGGTTGTCTTTTTCACTGTTTTAGTAAGATGTCAACAATAATAGTAAAACAAGTTAAGAACCTTGGTTAGAATTGAGGCATATACATTTCCGTTCTGTCTCTACCACTTTTGATTATGTAATCAGATGTAAGCCAATTCATCAAAAACTGACCAGGTGGCTCACACCTGTAATCCTAGCACTTTGGGAGATGAAGGAAGGAGAATCACTTGAGGCCAGGGCTTCAAGATCAGCCTGGGCAAGCATAGGAAAACCCCCCACCTCAATAAATAAATAAACAAATAGAAATTAGCCTGGAGTGGTGACATTCACCCATAGTTCTAGCTACTTAGAAATGTGAGGTGGGAGGATTCCTTGAGCTCAGGAATTCCTGGCTGCAGTGGGGTGTGACTGAGCCACTGCACTCTAGCCTGGGTGACAGAGACAGATTCTGTCTCTAAAAATTGTTTTTTTAATCTTGAAAAAATATTTGTCTTCA